CTATAACGTAATTTTTTCTTGGCTTTTATCAATTTGATCATCCACATCGATAGAAAGTATTCCGAAATTAGGAAAAACAGGTCTTGTTTCAAACCGGGTGAGAATAGCCTACGGTCGCAAGTCTCACCCGGGGTGAGAGGTAGATCGTTTTTCTATTCTCACCCCGGATGAGAATAGCCACTTCCCCTAAATTACTCTATTTCCCCGATCGTTTGGGAAAGTAATCTTGATGAACTTTATTTCTCCGAACGGTTTCCGTTCTTGAGACTGAGATTTGTTCATAATAAGCGAATGGAGTGGTGTGTGTGTGTGTAAGATGTGAAGGGATTTTTTTTTGGAAGTGGCTATCCTCACCCGGGGTGAGAATAAAAATACGATCGATTGACACCGTTGGCTATTCTCACCCGGTGTGAAACAAGACCTGTTTTTCCTAATTTCAGAATACTTTCTATCGGTGTGGATGATCAAATGGATAAAAGCAAAGAAAAAATTAAGTTATAGCACGAAAGTAAGCTAATTTGATCGTCTACAAAGATGCTATGGCTCTTTCACTTTTCGAATCGAGACGAACTACACGGGTCGCCATTTTGTTTTGCCCAGAAGTTCTCGCGCTACTCCTCTTCTCTCTCTCTTTCTCTGTCTCTCTCCACTGCCCACAGACAAAATTGTACGCTTTTAGTTTAGGCTATCAGTAATGGAACTTTGTTCACGGAACAGAGTTCTACAATTTTTCTGTTTTCACACTAGAATTCTGGGGTTCAGGGTGAACGCAAAATTGGTTGGCCTAGATCTATTTCTAGTTCTTGGCTATAACGGTGAACGCACACCGGGTGAGAATAGCCAAAAGACTCGCCTGCACCTCATCCGGGGTGAGAATAGAGGTGGCCTTTTTTTTACGTGAAGGGTTTTAGTTTTGGAAGTGTATACAGACCCGGTAACCGGGAACAAAGTCACAAAGTATACAGACCCGGTAACCGGGAACAAAGTCACAAAGTATACAGACCCGGTAGGGGAACTCTTTTGTGATTTCGGAAAGTTTCAGCGCCCTCTTGGCTCAGGGTAGACCTAGACTAAGTTCTTCTAGATCGAGATCTATGGCTTAGATCTAGACTGACAGACATAAATCATTGATCTAGTTTCGAGGTTAGCCTAGATCTAGATCTAAATGAAGATTGCGGATGTCTTCGATGAACGATCGTTTTTCCTCCGTTTTGGAGTTGGAGGAATCGCAATTTGAAGAAAAGAACGTCATAATTTCAATCGAGCAGTCACCCTCTCTCTTT